TATTATACAATAATACTGTTCCGGCTTACATGCAAATTCGGCTTAAGGACAGACCTTGGGAACAGAACTTGCTCTTAAACTGGGGACTCCATGCACAGATCATCTCTGTCTTGTTTTTTAATGTAACAGCCTCAATTTATAATCCAGATTGTATCTGGGTGACATTACCTAGACATTTCACAACTGAGGCTGGCAACGTGGGGTTTTGCTGAGGTTTCCCTGAGGGCCAATTGGTGTTGATCCAGTAAAGTGAACAAAGACCAGTCTGTCTCTGTCGAACAAGCCATCAGGAAACAGAAACAAAGATTTAAAAACCCAACCGAAAAAAGGAGAGAACCATCTGTTACACCCAACCCAGAGGAAAAAGCAGCTTCAGACTGAAAGCCCGCCTTTCTCCTGCTCTCTGTTTTCTGTCAATCTTTAGCTGGGCCAGCCAGGCAGCCAATCAAATTGTGGCAAAGGCAGGCCTAGCCCGGCTTGTTGGATTGCTGGTGGGACACACCTGTTTGTATTCTGAGGGCTGATGAAGAAAATGGGCTACTGTTAACTTAAAAAAAAAAAAAATCCAGTGTTGCTAGTGAATATATTACCTGGATGGCAGGGCCTGGGCTACCCGTGGCCACTGCAGGTTGACTTTGGGGATTGCTGCACTGTGCAGAGAATTGATTTTGCTAGTATTTGCAATTTTCAGGTCTCTATCATCCCATACTTTCTAGGTTATATGGAAATTCTTTTACTTTTGTAAAAAAATAAACTATTTAGTCATTCCGTCAGTGACAACTGAAAGCCAAAAAGCTTTCAAAAGCTGAAGAGACGTTTGCAGCTCTGATTTTTCCCTCAACTTGCTTCAGAAGGATTAGTGCAGTGTTTCTCACCTCAGCAACTTTAAAATGTGTGGACTTCAACTCCCAGAATTCCTGCTGGATGGGGTATTCTGGGAGTTGAAGTCCGCACATCTTAAAGTTGCTGAGGGTGAGGAACATTGGATTAGAACTATAACAAGATTAAGTGGGAATTCCACACAAGCCTCTTAAATATGAGCTATGCATGTGTATTTGAATCCTCTGAACTGTACTTTTTATTTGGTATAGGTGTATTTATTTGGTTGTTTATTTATTTATTTATTTATTTATTTTAAAATAAATAAATAAATAAATTATATGATTTATAATTATTTACCGTATATTATGTGAACCTTCAGATTTAGCAGCAACACTTGTACCCTGCCACAGAATCATCTGGATTGTGAATGAGCTATAATACTTTAATTAATAAATAAGAAAAAGGATTTTCCCCACCCTTGCCATTCTAATTATTCTGATTAAGGGTTAGGTTCTGTCATAAAAGAAAAGAAAAAATTCAGTTAATAAAGAACAACAAAGATCAAATTAATGAATACTTTTACATTTAACACACCTTCCTTTATTCTTTAGATGTAATCAGTTCTGACAGTTCTGACAGGAAATATTTATACAAAGCCCCTGTAACCCTTTTTAAGAACTCTCTCTCTATGTAAAAACAGTTTCAAGGTTTCTTTGATATACAAACTGACAAGTATATGTCAGGAACTTAAATAACATTGGCAAATTAAATGGCTCAGCATAAGAAGACATTTTGAAGATTTCTGTTGCATCAAATATCAATGTCAGTTAGCACGACTCTTATATGGAATATCATTTCCTGCTTTGCTCACATTGAACAGAATAAAGATAAATACAATATGTATTTAAATTATGGTTCCAGCCAAACCTGAAAATATGAAGATCAAATAACAGAAAAATCTAAGTAAAATGATCACCATTAGTCAGATTAAAGACGATTAGTTAAACATAGGCCACATTCAGATATATCCTGTGCAATCCATAATTTATATTAGATTACAGAAGTCAGATTAAAGATGATTAGTTAAACATAGGCCACATTCAGATATATCCTGTGCAATCCATAATTTATATTAGATTACAGAAGTCAGATTAAAGATGATTAGTTAAACATAGGCCACATTCAGATATATCCTGTGCAATCCATAATTTATATTAGATTACAGAAGTCAGATTAAAGATGATTAGTTAAACATAGGCCACATTCAGATATATCCTGTGCAATCCATAATTTATATTAGATTACAGAAGTCAGATTAAAGATGATTAGTTAAACATAGGCCACATTCAGATATATCCTGTGCAATCCATAATTTATATTAGATTAAAAAATGTTTCAGTGTAGAAACAGTTTAATCACTTCTGTGCTAAATTTTTAGCAGTCCAGAATAAAGTGGTTCCTGTTTGCCAGCAAAATAAACATTATTTTTATATTCATAATAATTTCCTAATTCCCATGCATATTATCTTTGAGTTAGCTTTCTATTAACTCATTTTAGTGACTGGGACTCAGGCAGTAAGTATATAAATTAAATATATTATTATTATATAGCACGTAAAATTATTGATTCACATTCATTACAGTTCCTATGTCATCCCAAATAATTTACAGAACTTATCTCTCTTCATTTAAGAGGAATCAATTGTCCCTCTGATCGTGCCAAAAATATTCTAGAACAAAATTAGAGCATTTTGGTAACATAAGGATAGCAGGCGCTTCTGGAAAACGAGATCTGGAGAAATGTAAAGCAAATGCAATTGATAACGATGAAATAATTTTCTGGATCTCTTGTTGTATCTCTTCTCAGTTTCATGTGACTGTGAGAAAAGTCTTCCGTTGCAGTGGCATGATTTGACTGAACAAGTTAGCTGAGTATGGGAACCAAACTTATCACCTGCTGCTTACGTGGACAGATGCTGATCTTTTTTAATGAACAAAGCCTCTAGTATAGAAACAGGAGATGAAAAGTCATTCACACCAAAGAGCATAAAACAGGCATATCCTTTCTGATTTGACATGCCTTGCTTAAAGAAGAAAATCCAATACGTTTTAAGCTTACCCAACATTTGAATGAGAAACACCTGCAAGTAATTTAGTAATGGTAGCCAAGCCAGTACAATAGATTGACTTTGTTTCCAGACGGTTGTTCTTTGTTTTGTATCTTTGACCACTTATAAATCTGACAGGACCTTTCTTTAATAAGAAGGAACTTTAAGCTTATCTCAAATATTCAAGATACTTCCACTACTTCCGCATGAAAAGGCACCAAAGTGACACAGTAATGCTAAGGAAACTATAGTAAATTATATATCTTCACAGCAGAATGCAGTGTTTTGTGTGAAATTAAACATGTTACCATTTTATTTTAAAAGTTTAAACAATAGTGTTTTTCATTGTTGTTCCTTTCTGAATCATGAGAATAAACACTTCAGAGCTGCCAAAGACTCTAAGCCAAACCACAGATGCAATGTACAAAGCATGATTTCTTAACCTTTTTAAAATTTTAATATTTGATGATTGAAAGCTGAAAGTGTGAAATTACACAATTTAAAATAATTGGCTTAAATGCGACAGACCATAGATTCTTAACATTGTGAAGATTACAGTAGAAGGCTTTGTTCCCCACAGAAAACTTCACTTGTAAATCTTGTGATTGAAACTTTCTGAAGTGAAATGAAAATTTTATCTGTGGTGATTTAATGATGCATTCTGGTCAGTAAACAACTATACAGGTTGCTTGAAACATTCTGATATTCTTCATTATTCTAAAGCGTTTTCAGTATACTTATTTATTTATTGGCTTTTTTTCTCCTCAAAATGCAAAAGTTGGCCATCCAAACTTTCACTGGATAATCCTGTCAGTAACGCACAATTGCATTTTATGCCACTGTGGGAATCTCAAGAAAGCAGCTGGGCATATTATACATTTAGATGTTGCAGAAAAAGTTGTTTTTGAGAATTTGCCTGAAATTACCTTTTTGGCAGCCTTCCTAAGAATATGATTAAGAATTTTATATTCAAATTTTGTTAAGTTGTAGCAAGCTAAACAAACCTTAATGAAACGGAGCTTTGAAACATGTGAAGAGCTGAAGCCCATTAGTAAATAGACTAAAAGTTCAAATAATTTTGTTCTTGCATTCTGAACCACAGTGTTTGTACAATATGGTGCATTTATACGAAGTGGAAAAGAGAGTAAGGTCCAGATTAGAAGTTATAGTAGATATGCCTGGTTGCTGTCAATTTTTATCAACTCTCAATTTGCTAAGAAAAATTAAATTAAAACATGATAATCAACATACACATACACACACACACACACACACACAATAAGAACCAACCAATATATGAAGAACTATAGATTTATCAAACCTGAGACAGAAAAAAAAATATTAATTTGGTATGAAAGAAAGATTATGTCACTCTGGATTTATAATTTTGGATTGATCGTATATGTTTGCCCCTGCATGTTTTCTATCAGCTGATAAAAATCATTCCATATAATCAAGGTATAATGTATTTAAAAACTCAATTGTTTCCCAGTTACTCTCTCTCAGCCCAACCCACCTCACAGGTATGTTGTTGTAGAGGCAGGAATATTAGGTATGTTTGCTGCCTTGAGTTTTATATATATAAAAAGGTGGGATAAAATCATCATCATCATCATCA